ATATTATCAAACAAAATTTCATTTAAATATTTTAAAATTTAAAAAATATAGATCATAAATATATTTTTGTTAATTTTCCAGACAAATTTACCTGAAAATGGTCTACAGTTTAAAAGATAATAATAATTTAAATTATTTTTGAGTTATTTAATAGATTATACTGTAATCTATTAGATAATTCAAAAATGATTTAAATTATTATTTTATTTCTTGAGATATTAATATGTAAAATTAATAACTGACCTTCTACCCTCGGCTGGTGAGTTTGACTTCCAGAAATTGGCTATAATAAATTACCCGGATACCCGGATAATTTAATAATACCCGGGTAGAGATTTTTTTTGACGGGTACGACCTCTATATAAACTAACATTTCGAGATTGATTTTGTCATATAACCACCCATACCTTAATTCTAATTTAACTAGTAAGCTTCAAATTCACTTGAATTCCGTTTCCACTTACAACAATGAAATCTCTTTTATATTTATCACATTTTTTTGTATCCTTTTATTTTGTTCATAAGTAATATCTTTGAATCACAATGCAAAGTACTGTAGAAATCTGATTTTCGACACTTATCATTATGTAGATAATTTTGGTGGTTATCGTTATGCTAGGAGGGATAAAACTGAAGTATGTATTTACTGGAAAGATGTTAAGCGACGCCATGCATGTGATCAATAACCCGAATCGAATGACTTCTATATCACCCAATTCGTCTTGCTAGAATGGCATAAAATCATACGATTCTGATCACTGTGCCACGCCCAAATATTAAGAGACGTTATACCGACACAACAGACATGGCACGACCAGCATTAGGTAAAGTACAGCAGAATTAGAATTAATGCTGCGTCGGTATATCGACTTTTATCACCTGATTTTTGAGATAACGATTCGGTAATCAACTTTGAAAAATCCTGTTGCGATCACATGTTCCGGTGTTTCAAGTGGATCTGGAATCCAAACTAACCGGATTTGGATAACCATAGTAGACACAAAAATTATGTACGTATGTACGTACTATGAATTAAAGTTTGCCGTTAACTATTTTATGGACAACATCACGCTTGCCTTAAAAAAAAGGGGCTTAGTTGTGTAAAAATATATTTTACATATTAGTCTACTCTTATGACAAAATTTATGAACTTTACTTTTGATTATTAATGTGAATTTTAGTGGATTAGTGAACTGACAATCAATACTCGTGACTATGTAATCAAAAAGGACACCGAAAAATGAGTAAGGTATTTTAGTTTTTAAATAAACAAGTATACAATAGACGTAGTACAATATTTTATGCTACAAAATATACAAAAAGATTGGTCAGCAGGTGTTAGAATTGTCAAATTTAAATTTCTATAAAAGTAATTGCATTTTCCGATTACAGTGCTGTGCAATAGTTACACGAAAATTTTTATCATTATCATATATTAGTCTCATTATGGCAATGATCAATCGTGATACTCATGTACGATATGATTTGGAAACTTCGCTCCTTTTGTCGAAAAAGTCCTAAATTGATTTTCTTCACTGTATGCAGCTGATAAGTAAGTTGTATTAGGGCCTTTTATGTTGATTATGCGTTTGAAAATAGTCTTTTAGCAGCATTTGTCAATAACGTGAAAAAATACCTTTGACATTATACGAAACCATGCCGCCACCAACACAGCAAAGACAAAATTCATGGTTGTCAAGATTCACGAACTTAATACTTACGAGTTCAGTGGTCAGATATGGAACTTTAATATTTCTTGTAGCTTTAATCAGCGTATTATATTTTGCTACCACACACCAAGTAATGAAGACTCAGGGATTAAATGCAAACGTTTTTGGAGACCTAATAACTATTATTCCTGATGCAAAAAACCCCCAAAATTTATTTAATATTCCTAACAACAACTCGATATCTAGTGGAGGGACGATGACTCAAATAGGGACCTACAAAGGGAATAATACTGTTAAAGGACTTTTATATGATCGTGGAAATGGTTGTGTAGATATTATTTCTCCTGTTATACCTCAAGGCTATAGCAATCTTAGCGTAGGCTTGGTTTCAATAAATGATGCAAGTTGTCAGATCGATACAATAATTAGCAATTCTATTAATTATGGTGATATTGGACTTATCATTTTAAGAGATCCTCAAAGCATTCAATATGACAATAATACAAATATGCCTATATTTATTGTCGGAGACCCTTCGTTTTTGATTGTACAGTTAACGTATGTAACTAACAATTATAATAAAACAAAAAATGAAAAACAAGTTTTACGTGTTACATTTACGACAGCTCAAGCTGCTCCTGTTAATTCATGGCTTTTTGCAATGTTTGCCGTTGGTGGTATCTTAGTAACATCATTTTTTATTTCTATCTTGATTCACATGAGACTTTACCGTTTAAGGAGGAATCATCAAGAAGAAATAAGACGGCAAAGGATAGCAGATGAGATTACTGGAATGAGAAAATGGACATTAGATCAAGATGATATTGATTCACTACCAGTTTTTACTTATTCTAAGAAAACTGCGACATCTAATAAAAGTACAGAGGTATCTACATCAGAAGAAGTGGATGAAAAAGATAATCCCACTGCTACTAATAAAACTAATGAAGATAATGAAAATTCTGGTGATAAGTCAAATGGTGATGTAGAGACTAAGGAATCGTCCACTGTTCCTCAATCACTAAGTCATAAATCCTCGGTACGATCCACAAAATCTACTAGATCCACAATATCCAACAGATCCACAAAATCCGCACGTTCTCAAAAAGCAATAAGTAATGCCGTCTCTCTATATACATCAACAGATTCAACACAAAATCATTTAAGTTCGGATGATGATTATGATATGTTGTTAGAAGAGACGTGTGCTATTTGTCTTGAAGATTTCGATGATGGCGATAAAATACGTGAATTGCCATGCCGTCATTGTTATCATGTTGAATGTATTGATCCTTGGCTGACAACAAAAAGTAGTTCTTGTCCTTTATGTAAAAAAGACTGCAAACCTTCCATTGGTGGTGGGAATAATGAAAATACTTCAATCTCTGTCAATATTGAGAATGAAACACATCAATCACAAGCTAATCAGAACTCAATGAATGCTAGCCATCCAAATGTTGTTTTGAGGATGGGTAGACTGCTTAGAGGGTATTTTTCATCACAAAACAGAGGGAGTAATAATACAAGAAATCTAACTACAAATCCTTCGGAAAATGAAAACGGGATGGAATTAGAAAGTGTTCGGTCCACGAATTAAACATTCAATAAACTACTACCACCCGTAATTTAGAAAATTGTGCATTATTCACTTCTTTTCAACTTCCTATTTCTTTATGTAACAAAACGTTATGTATATTTAATTTTTAGTGATTGTAGTATTTAATGTAAATTATCATCACTAGTTTTGTGTTAGCCTTTATGCGTTTATTTATTGTAGCATTATGTTAGCCATATTTGTCATCACAAATTTTTATATAAATTTTTTATTTAAAAGATGTTAATCTAACATGAGCTACTTACTAATTTGAATATAAAATAATTTCTGTTCATGAAAGATTAATATTTAAGTAATAAAACAAAAAAATATATATTTTAAGCTCCATTAAAAATAATGACTTGCTAGCGCTAGGTGATATCACCCGGGTATAAAAAGCCAATCAGATCGCCGGATCTCATGTAACCAAAACAAAGCGAAGAAAAACTATGCTTCAACTCCTAAACAAAAGTTTTCAGCATTAAAGTTTACATATACTTACCTTCTCTTACCTTAATTCAAGGCTAACTCTAACCCTTAGCCTTAAATTCATTTTAGTTTAAATAAAAATTTTATCATCCGGGTGAAAATTAGGTATCAAAAAGGGATTATGCAACAAATGACATAAAATGATAAAAACAAAAGAAAGTTGCGCGCGCCGGGAATTGAACCCGGGTCTGCCGCGTGGCAGGCGGCAATTATACCACTAAACCACACGCGCTTTTACTATACAAAGTCGCTTCTCTTTCAATATGTAAATAGTGACTCGTTACCGAGATAATAAAATATAATAATTAGTAGACAATGCGAACAAGGTTTGCTAATAACATTAAATGATTATATATGGGATCTTTGCTAGGAATTTTTTTTCCTAAAAATAGATTTATTATGATTTTCCTAATAAAAATTTCCTCGTAGGGTCATTTTGCTAGCATACATGAATGCATAAGAGCGAAAACCTAATCAGTGACGTGTTTACATGCGAAATGATTACGTCATTTTTACAGCAATCAGTGGATTTATATCAATAAATTTATCGTATAAGCATTTTGCGATATGTGAGATATATTATCTCACGCGAAGCATATAGAATCTTTGCTTTGAAAATCACGTTATGAGACATATGATTTACTATGTCCAATAACGCGATTTTCAGGGCAAAGACCCCATATATCTATTATTATAAATCTATTTCTAATACTTATTAAAATTATTTATCTTTTTTTTTGCAAATATAATTGTTATTTGCATATTCGCGATTCAAATTATTATAGGATTAATTATTTCTGTTCCATAAAAAGATATTCTCGTCTGCTAAACCAAAAAAAAAAAAGTTGAAAAGCATATGATTTAAGTCGATCAACTTAAATCTCAGACGATCGAATCCGATTACAGATATTGTTTATTTGATTGTATAATTAAATATGATATGTATGAATTAATATCGGCTTAAATCATTAAACTTGCGAACGATCACAATCGTCGTATGATCATGCTACCGCGATCAACGAACGTGAGATCATACATAATCACCATGAAAAATATTAATTTAAATAACATGATCCCAGACATATCGTGGTAATCATACCCAACGCATGTTTTAGATCATCCTATCACTCGTAATAAGTAATAAAACTATCAATCTACTTCGTGCACGTGTATTTGCAAAAATCTAAAGTGACGTCACTTTCATCATTAAGATATGTAATCACAAATTTAATACATTTAATCGCAATATGTTTGTTTAGAAGACAAAAGGCAATAACAGAAAAAAAATAATAATAAAGTAAAAACAAAAAAGGGCATTTTGAAAGATGCAAAAGTAGATAATGAAGCTTCTGTGAAAGAATTTAAGAGGTCATTGAAATTCTACTCAAAAACAGTGAAGGATTGATAAAATTAAAAACAAAAACTCTTTTACCCAGTGATAATAAAAACATTAGTTGCTGAAAAATTCGAACCTTTCTCTAGGCATTTAACAGATCCCGCTTCCTAGTATATAGAACCAATATAACATTTAATAGGTAAGGTGACGTAGTCATCTAAGAATATAATATAGCTTCTTTAAATTAGAGCCACAGATTAGCTCTATTTGAAGTTGTTCAGCCCACAAATGGCTTGGCTCTAACCTGTAGAGCCAAATAATCAATTCAGTTTGACTAACGTAAGCCGTGAGCCGAGCCGGGTCAGCCGTTTGCATCTCTAAAATCACACTTTTGTTCCACGAATCAATGTGGGCTTGGTGCTGAGAAAAGGAACCAAATTAACAAAAAAAAGTTTGCAGGAAATTGATTTTTATATGTTATAAATTCTATAATAAATTATAAGAAAATACAAACTTTAAAGAGGTATACTGCAAAATTTTGTTAAAATAACAGTATTTGTTCCTTAAGTAAAAAAATGTTCCTGAGCTAATTTTGGATTAGTTAAGCTCAAAAAAAGTTTGTTGAAAAAATTGTCAAATTTGGTCCCTTTTCTCAACACCTAGCCAATGTGGAAAGATATAACGAATCACATCTCTCTTAATTTTGCCGCAAGTTTCCCATATTCGTTAATAAATTCTGATTTACGAACGATATCCCAAATTCTCATTGAACTTCGGAACCTACAAACAAGTAAATACCAGTTTAAAAATTAACGTAAAAGTACCAACAAATTACAAACAAGAAAAAACAAGAACAAATTAAATAATATACCATTCCTTTTCAGACACCTGGCCCTTTTTACCAGCCTTTTTTGGCAACTGGAATATTTGATTTCTCAAAGATTCTGTCAAGACGATAAACGTATCAGGTGCATTTAAATAAGTAAATCCAATATACTCCCCCTTAGGACGAAGGGGTTGATTCTCGTAAGGCAGAAGAAAAACATTTGGTAATCGTCGATTATCTGGAGATTTGTACATTGTCAATGACTTTGTCATGGAAACGGTCCCTAATCACAAGATGAAATCAAATATATCAGTAAAAAATTTAAATATAGAGATACAAAAGTATCATATTACCAAAAATTTTCAAATTCGAATCTTTAAATATATTATTTAATAAATCGCAGATAGATGTATGCTTAGTCGATGTGAAATCGGCGGGCAAGGTTTTATTACATATCAATACTGTGGACATAAAGTTTCATCAAGAATAAAAACCATAAGAAAAATAATAAATAACAGTAATCAAGGAAAAAATTAATTACCAATATCAGGATAATATTCGGTACCAGCGTCCACTGACGCTAATGATGGTATAGTTGGAAATTCTGGTATATGATATTTCAACATTTCGGCTTTCTTTAAAAAGTTCCACATTGCATAATCTATACTCTCAGTGACAGTAATAACAACGTTGCAAACCGAAAAAAGAAAGATAACAATTTGAAGTGACTATCCGAAAAAGTCTTAAATATAAGTATGTAAATTTTGAACCAAAAGCTTTGTCATAATTTGAGTAATTAAAAATCCTAACCTGCAGTTCAAGCCATAACTCGGGAGATATATTATCGGGAATGTAATCATTTCTCATCGCATGTTCGAGAACTGATAAACTAAAAACAGGCTAAAGGTCCAAAAATAAATAAAAAACTTCAGAAGTAATTTACGAAACTGAAAACATAAAAATACTAAAGCTACTACGCTGTTGTACCTGAGTGTCTAAAAGTATGATCCTTTCAGGTGTGATATGAATATCAATACCCGTAGTTTCATGGCTCGCTAAATTTAGTGTATCGACTGATTGTGCAGGGAAAGCCTAATACGAAAAAAAACAAAAAATAGCTATTTTCTTGCAATTGATTAAAAAGTTTAAAATGTTGTGAATTTAAATACTTGGTCATACATTCTGCGGGTCTTGACATAATGCAGATATAACAGTAGATTTTCCAACTCCTTGAGGTCCACATACACCAACAACGAAATGACCCGGAAGATCACTTAAAATCTTTTGACACATCAAATAAACAATCCTTTGTTAGAACTATCTACTTCAAAATTTGATATTTCTTCACTTGCTAACCTTTAAAACAGATTCGTGGTTAAGTACACCCCTCTCATTGATCATTTTCACAAATGGTTTGTCGAATGGCTTTCCTTTAAAAGTCATTGGCTTAGTCTCTACGCGTGGTGCGTTGACTGGAGATGCGCGGTTAAAAGAATCGTCGCGAAATATGCGAACAGACGGGTGAAATGTTGTTTGTGAAGAGCCTTCTTCTTCAACCTTATCTGAAGCCTGTGAAGTTGAAACTCCGGAGGTTTGTGGTCTACGTTCAAGAATGACAGGTGTTTGATAGAAAGATCTTGAAAGGTGGTCTGGAGTTGGTGTTGTCAATGACCCTGAAGAAGAATCCTGAAAGTCAATCATACAAATGTAAAAAAAAAAAACTAAATGAAAGCTCTTGCAAAAAATAATTAATTAAAGAAAAACATTTGTTTGCATACCTTCGGTTTTCTCTCGCGTCTTCGGCCATTACTTCCTTCTCCACGTGAACGTTGATCTCTTCCACCCCCTTCCCTTCTTATGTTTTTAGGGTGTCCAATACCGTTCCCTTCACGACCTCCTCTGCCATTTCTTCCTTCCTCGTTACGGTCATCAGATTCTCGGTTACCATTACTTCCCTTCGCCATAAAGTTGTTTCAATATTGAACTTAAACTTGCAACAAATAAATCGTGAAATTCTCGCTGTTATATAATCGAACATGACTATTCCATTTATCTGATATTATTAGGCGCAGTTATAAGCCACAATGTCTGATGGCTGAATCCACCGTGGCTTGTCAAAATTGCTAGAGCCAGAACGAGAAAATTGACCAATAAAATCCATGCTGATCTCTTGAAAAACTATAATTTTAATCATGAAAGTCTTTAGTTGCTTGCCACCTGCCCCAAACTGGAATTCCTCAAAGGCTGCAGCAGTCTCTTTAGAAGAAAACTTACTTGCTTATGCCTCTTCAAACGACGTTATTTTATTAAATGCTGGAACGCTTCAATATGTGGGTAGATTTCGCGGGCATACAGACAAGGTGAACGCCGTAGGATTTTGTGATAACCTTTGTGCTAGTGGAGGTGCCGATACCACAATAAGATGTTGGGATACGCTGACCCAAAAGCAAACAGCTATTTTGAAACATCATAAGGTATCAATTTTACGGCGAAATTATTCATATTTTTGATTCTATCGGGTATAAAGTTGACGCGTTTTTACTAATACTTTAGAGCGAAATTTATGCTTTGGCGTGGGTAAAAGACAAAAAATTTGTAGTATCAGGTACAAAATTTAAGCGTTTTTTAGAATAAGAAATATTTTTTGACGTGTTTATCGGATTATTTTAATTCTAGGAGATAAATCCGGTGATATTTCTATATGGAATCCATCAAAAAACAAGTCCAACAAGCTTTACCTCATTCAGTCTCCAATATATGATATTTCACCATCACCTACCATTGAGAGTTCATTAGCAATTGGGTATGCATTATCATTTTTCTTTTTAAACAATAAATATTGATACTTGTTAATACCACCCCCTACTTAACTCTAATTGGCCTTTAACTCTTCCGGGAACTCTATGAACAATACTTACTCTAACTGTTAATTAATTAATCACATAAATTTGCACTGTTCTAAATACTGTGTAGAATTTTCGCGATTTAGGGTTATATAGGGGGGTGACATTAACAGTTCTCTAAATATTTTATTAATAGTTTATTTATTTTATTTTATTTTTATTTTTTTTTTTAGTTTTCAAAATGGTGCTATAATTGTCGTTAAGGTTGATTCTGACCTGAATGGAAGGATAACGCGCCGACTAAATGGTCACGATTTTGAAATTCAAAGTTTATCATGGGAATTACCAACTGGTATTTGTCCTCTAATTTATTGAAAGTTTATCACGTGCGCATCACATACGATTAACACTATATTATAGGGGATTACGATACTGCAAAGTATACTTTACTCGCATCCGGCTCTCGAGACAAAACAATACGCATTTGGAATGTCGATGAAGAAAGTTCGATAAAGACAATTAATTTACCTCAGCCGATGCACCATCTCACCGATCAACAAAAATCCAGAGTGTGGGTGGCTGCAACATGGATTCCGGATCGTAATAGTGTGATTACAAGCTCATATATGTTTGTACAATATTTGCAGAAATTATCGTTTATTTATATTGTAATGTTCTCTAACGATATTTTCTTATCCTACCCGTTTATCATTTCGTTATTTTCACTATTCCTATACATACCTAAAGGGGTGATTTACTTTTATGGGATTTAAGTGTTTCAACTACGAAATACCAAAAATTTTTGAGTGGCCATTCTCGAAGCGTTTTTTCAATTGTGATGTATGCGTGTGGTACGAAAGCTATAACAATCTCTATGGACCGAAAGGTAGCTTTACTTCTCAGCTCATATATTCTTTCCCTTTAGTGACTTATAATTCATTCACTATTAAATTCCAGATTATTCTCTGGGATCTCATCCAAAAGAAACCAATTTTTACTGTGTCCTGCATTCACAATTATGTTAATGACATCGATGTTTCTGTGGTGGATCCACATAGACTTGCCATTGCAAGTGGTGATAATAATATCCGTGTATGGAATATCGCGAATAAACATGATCCATATAGCTGCACTTTGTATTGGAAAGGCTTGAAGAATAAACTTACATGCGTAAGCATTTTAACTAACCTTTTAAATTTTAGCATTAAATCTTTATCATGATTTATACATTAAAAATTATATAGATAAAATGCCATCCAAACCGTGAAGGATTCCTTGCATTTGGAACCGATCTGGGTAATATTGGCTGGTATGAAGTATATAACGACAAATCCAAAACTTTCAATTCTTATCACAAAAGTAAGGTCTATTCTATCCATTGGTATAAATCTGAGTGGTTGGGTCTAGGCTTAGCAGATGAGAATTCAGACTATAATTTAATTATAAGTTGTGGAGGGGATGGACAAATACTTTTAAGCGATACTACGAAACCAAAGCAATCTATGATTGTCAATGACATGATAAAAGAAGCAAATCCCGAGTGGACCTCAATTATGAAGGTAATCTTAATGGCATGCTTAATTTTCTGCTTGTATCTAGTAATATTTAAATAAATGTTTATGACTTAGGATAAGTCTGGTTATCTACCGAAACGTAGTGAAATAGCGGTTCATCCAGGTGGTAAATTTCTTGCTATTGGTAATGTCGATGGCAGTATCGAGGTTTATAATCTACCGTCCTTAAAAATTGTCTACCATAATATCGGCCATCGATCCATAATCAATAAACTTGAATGGCGCCATTTAGGTATGTTAAGTAAATGGTCTCTTTAAAGCTCAAATAATTGATAATTTCAATCAATTTCCAATTTTAGATGACGTCGGAAATTCGTTTTTACTCGCTTCTGGCGCAGATGACAAATTAATCATGGTTCACGATTTTTCTGATTTAAATAAATTGATTTCTACAAGTAATTAAATTTCTGTTTTATTTTTTGAAATTAATGTGTTACTCATTTTATTTTTACAAATAACCTTATTCCTTTAGCTACTGTACCAACTTCTTCATGCAAACAAGTGCTTGATATGCATAAGAAAGGAGTGACTGACTTATCCTGGAGTCCTTCTGATGCTAATAAATTGGTCTCTTCATCGTTTGATGGCACAGCTATTGTATTTATTAAGCAACGCATATATATGTTTTTTTTTTTTTTTTTTTTGGCTCGATATGATTGAATTATGTTTGTTAGGTATGGAATTTAGAACATGGCATTCCGATTGCTATGTTTCGTGGCCATCATGGTCGGTTATTATGTACAGTTTGGAGCTTGGAAGATGAAGATACGATTTTTACTGGTGGAGATGATGCTTCGTGTTTTTGCTGGAAAATATCCCAAAACCCATATGAACACTCTAAAGGTATTACTCGATTTGGCTTTTTACTTGCAGAAAAGAAAGAAAAAACATAACATTGTTGTTTTTATGACAATTAAAAGAAATAGATTTCAGTTCAGAAATTAAAAGCAACACTATGTCTGATGCTGTTGCTAAAGATATGTCCCAGTCATTAGAAGAAACTATTTTAACGACACTCGATAAGGTAGAACATACGTCAACACATACAACGACAGACACACCAGAACCTATTCAGAAAGTTGAAGTTCGTGCATCCAAAAAAAAAAAATTCAAGAACCTTTTACCTTTGGCAACATCTCCATCACGAAGAAAAAATCTTCAATATAGCACTTTTGACATTGCGAGAAAATTATATGATGGTGATATATCGAAAGCGATGGAATTTTGGACTGATAATGAGCATAAAGGTCAAATGTCGATTGACGAACACGATAATATTGATATTCAGACCCCGCTATCTGTAGATCTGTTTTTTGGGGAAGGAAATAAGTCACGAAAGATAATTGAGCAAGAAAGTAATTGATGCATTATAAATATAACTACTGTATTTCTCTCACATATAAATTTTAAACTATTTTTTTTACCAAACTTTCCGTTCATATATGCAGTCAAAGCGCATAACAATTTAGGAATTACTATGGGTTTAGGAGGTTTGGAAGTCAGCCCTGCTTTTCCTCTGCAAATGTGGTCTAATAATTTTGCTGAATTGATTAAAAGTTATGAAAACAATGACGAATTTGCCAATAAAGATTGGATACTTCTCGCCCTTAGTCCATTGGGTACTTCATTGTTCTAAATTAACTGATAATGTCATTTGTAAAGAACCTGAAATCTTAATTCTTTATTGTATTTATCTTATGGACTAATAAATAGCTGGCCGAGATGTATGGCAATCCTTGATACGCCTTCAGGCTGAGAAACTTGTAGCTAAAAATGACCGCCACGGTGCGGTATTATGTTGGTTAGCATGTGGTGAAGTTTATGAAGCTATCAATGTTTATCGCAAAGCTGAAATGTATCGGTAAGTTAATTCAATTCCAAATATTATCACAATAAAATCTTCAAAATTTTATAATGCATAATTTTTAGTGAGGCGATTGCTTTAGCAAAACTTCGTCTGATTGATGAAGATCCAATTTTTTCGGATCTATATTGTTTATGGGCCAATCAATTAGAAAAAGAAGAGGCATATGAGCAGGCTGCAATGTGGTAATTCAAGTTACCTTAATGAATTATGTATTATTGTTGCCATCTTCTTGTTTTAAATATCCCTTCTATTGCCAGCCATTTAGCAGCAAAAAAGGATAATTCAATCCATCATGCGTTAAACGTTTTATCACGTCGTGGTGATCCCTCAGCACTACGTACTGCAGCCAGTTTAGCGTTGATGCTTGGAGATTCATCCGCAGACGAAAGAATATCAAGATATTTTGAAGATCAAGAAATAAGAAGCTCTAAAAAAAGCAACTATGTTGAGCCAGATAATGTGAAACCATTTGAAGAGTAGGATATTGCATATATAATGAAGTAAAAACTTAATTTTTGATTATACAGTTAGGTTAATCTTTAGTATAGGTGAGTAAATATATATTGAATTTAGAGAGCAGAATCTTCTCTGCTTTTGAATAAAAGCATTCTTTATAAGCTTTCTTGATATATGTTATAGATAATTTTTTATCAAATTTAAGTATAAAGAAATAGGTAATTATTCTGACTAAGAATTAAGTATAATTAGTTTGGATATAATTTTAGCTATTACTTGATAATAATGAAGATTATTAATTTGGTTATTGATAGTAGCAGTTTTTAAGTATGTATTAAAGTAATTATAAAAGTAATAGTTTTTATGTATATGTTTAGTATTATTTGTTTTATTAAGTTTGTTAAGTTTTAAAAATTGTTTTTAGTTTTGGCTGCTAGTTGGTATAAATATGTAATTAGTGTTGGTTTTAGAAGGTAACAAAAAATTTATTATATTTAAATATAAAAATGTTTAAGATTGGATATAATTATTTGAATTTGAGATTTAAAAATAGGTTTGAATTAATAAAAACAGAAAAATGTTTAAAGAATTTTTTGAAAAATGTAGTTAAAAAAATTTAATATTATGTTTTGTGTTTTTAAATAATGTAATACAATTGTTTATAGTACAAGTATAAATATGATATGTTCTGTTTTAAAGCAAAATTGTAAATATTTATATAATAAATTAACAAAAATAATAATAAATTAGTTAGGTAAAAAAGCTTTGTGTATATTAAAGAGTTTAATTTTTTTTTTTGGTATTAAGGTGAGGCTTTGCTCATATCTTTATTGGTAGTTTAAAAATTAGTAGTTACATGAAACTGCTATGTACAAAAAGTAATTTTTTATATAAATGCTATAGCTAAAACCAACACTTGCAGCCAGGGTTAACCATTAAACTGCTAACTATATAGCTACTCTAAGTACAAATAAAAGAAAAACTACATTCAAAAATAAAAGCTCAGACATATTTATCTGCGATCTAAATCTATAAGTGTGGTCAAGACTCATCTAGTTTTGTAAGTTTAGAATATGGTTATAAGAAATATTGTATTTGATCCAAAGAATGATTCAGATGTTGATTTTATGGATAGTATAGCCAGTAGGTAGACAGGTATTAGAGTTGAAGTGTAGTTGGTCAGGTAGCCTATATAGATAGAAATAAGTATAATTTTTGCAATTAAAATTTCTTTTGTTATTTTGATTTGAATGAAGTAAAGGTTAGACATAAGGTGGTTTAAGTTCTTGTTATTGTTTTCAGTTAGCAAAATTTATACAATATGATTTTTATATTTGTTCATAAGAAAGTTCATTAACTTTAAATAGAATAGCAATAATTGTTTATAAAGCTAGTTTGTATAAGATATTAAAGTTTTGTACAATCTTAATTAGAAATTTAAGAATAAGTCCTTTGAGTATGATATTAAGATAGTGTTGATTGGTTTGAAGAGATATAGAATAAAAGACATAGTGGTTACTGATTTTATGAATAAGTTCTTCTTGTTGGTTTATAGATAAATCAAGATCTGTATAATTAATATATTCAGATATGCTAGTTTGGATAATATCGAAGATAAGCGATGAATTTGAGCATGTACACCAATGGGTTAGAGAATCAGCAAAATTACAGTTAAAACAGTTAGTATTGTAAAATGTGTGTAGGTAGGTTTTGTGGAAATAAAAATAGGTAAAAAGTTCATTTAATAGAATTTAAATTTTGAAAGATTTAAAATAGTTGAGTTTAAAATTTGTGATATTATAAGTCATTTTTTGGTTGTAGTTAAAGAAAGACCAAGTTGACCTTCAATCAATTTAGGAGACCAAGGCTTTCCATTCTTTGTTACATTTTTGGAAGGACCACATTGCTAAAATATAGACTCTGCAGATATTTTTGGTAAAGCTTCTAGTTGGATGTTCTATAAAATATTGGTTCTAAAGAATTATATAATATGGATTGTAGATGTTTGTGTAGTTGAGATATAATGTAGTGATGAATTATGTTGTTTTGCTAGTGAGTCTGCTAAATTATTAAGAATGTTATCAGAGTGGGCTTGTACTTTGTGAAAGCTAACCTGATGGTTATAAGATTTGATAATATTAAGCAAAGTGTGCCATATTGGCCATGAGCTGAATTTGAAAAGCTTGTTAAGGTTTGAAAGAGTAATATATATTTTTGAATATTTAGTAATTATAGACTGAGAGTTAGTGAAGATGTTGATTATTGTGTTGCAAGGGATAATTGAAACAGCTAAAAGAATTAACATTAGTTCAGCTTTGTAAGAAGATGGCTAGTAATAAATTTTCACTAAGAATTTGTGAATTATTTGGTTGGAATCATTAACTTGTACCTATCCAATACCCATTGTACATTGATCTGTACTGATGTCAATTACAGAGCCATCTGTATAGAAGTTAAATATATTTTGTACTGTATTGGTAAGGGAATATTGTTTGAGTTTATATGTGGCTTCCTCTTGCTTAAAAATTTCTAATATAGGAGAGTCAGAGATATAAATAGTAGGGGCAGAAGGTAGAGATAGTGGATGTTTAATTGCAGTTGATGAATCAGATCAATATAGTTTGCATTAAAGTTGAGAGTATTAGAAAAAACTCTTCCAAGAAATTGAGTAGAGATTATTGATGATAAATTAATTGTATAGCAGTTTGCAACTCTGTGGGAGTTGAGGTAGCAATCTATACAAACTAAGCATTGAATTAATAGAAGGGGGTAGTAAGTTGAGAGTTCTGTATTAATATTTGTTTTCCAGTGTGTAATAGAGATTTGGTTATAATTTTTAAAGTATCTGTAAATTTTGCCAATAATAATATCATTATTATTGTATATTAGTAGTCAGGGTTTAAGTTTTTTAGTAATGTGTTGAGAGTTGTAAGCAAAAAGGTTGTGTCTGGTTTGTTGATATTGTGGAAGTAGTGTTCTAGAGCTATTGTTAGTTGTTACAGTATTCTCTAGACATGTAAACCAGGATGGCTTATGTCTTTTGGGTAGCTGTATTAAATAAGGTAAGAGATGATTCTATAGAAGTAAAGTAGTATTGTCTGCAGTACAGAGTTGTTTAAAATACAGGATATTAAGTTTTTTAAGTTGTTTTTTAAAGATAGTATATTGAGGATAGGAGGACATGATTGGTTCAAGTGATTGAAGCTTATATTGTATGGTATTGGGCCAAGATACACTATTATTAGTTGTTATAGACATGTTAATATGTATGAAAAGTTGGATAATTTTAAAGTTTAAGATATATCTATTAGGTCCATCAATATTGGATTGGGGGTGTTGTAATATATTTGTAGTTGACCAGAGATTATTTTGTAATTGTTGTAGTCAAATGCATATAGAAGTTTCTAGTAAATCAGAGTTGTTAATTCATAATATGAAGTTAGATATATGATGTTAAAGCTGGATGTCTCAGATATTGTGTATATTATATAAAAATAAATTAAGCATGGTGCTATTTGGGATGAAACGAGCTAGATGTGATTTATGTTTAGCTACAGTTAAATATTTGACTAGAATTTTATTGAATACAGAATGAGGAAGAACTATATTGTGTATTCAGTATTCTAGTATAGGAATAATAATTGTGTTAATAATATAAATTATTTGTTTATCTGTAATTTTTTAGGTGCCAGTAATGTTTATAAGTTGAAGTGATTCTTCTTGAATTAGTTTAATTTATGTAGTTTGTTTGTTGTTAAGTGTAAACCAGCAACCAAGGAATTTAAAAGGTTGGTTGGCTGGAATAGATGTAAGTATAGAATTAAAGAATTGAGTAGTAGTTTGGAGTTGATTTGATATAAAGATAGATTTAAAGAAGTTGATTTAGATATTGGCTATTTGGTAAAAGGATGTTGCAATTTGAAGTATTTTTTCGAGTTCTAACTTAGATTGGGATATCTAAGATGTATTATCTATATAGGCTAGAACAGAAGTAGATGTATTAAGATTTTGAGTTTTAAGTAGGGAAAGGCTGATTGGCCATGTTGTATATAATGTATAGCCTTTATGCTGTGATGTGACTTTATGAATGATTGGGTCATAATATATCTGCCAAAAGAGGAGAGTAATAGTTTTACCTTGGTCTATTCCATTTTTAACTGAATAAAAATTAGTAAGGCCAAAGTTTGTAATTACTCTGTTTTGATAGTTTGTAAGTAGATTAATAAGTATATTAATCAGTTTGGATGGCATATTGATATGATTAAGAGCTTTTTCAAATAGGTTTA